GATATAGATATAGATATAGATATAGATATATATAAATACATAAATATTACACATACAAATTACACAAATATATCCATATATATATATATATATATATATATATATATATATATATATATATATATATATATATATATATATATATATATACACAAATGTAACGAGTTAAAATGATCAACTTTTAAGAAGGTAAACTTAAGCTGACTGTTTAACTGACCAAGTGGTTAGCTGTGACCTGTGTCTGGATGGTGATGGTGCTGCCCTCCACATAGACCTTGGTGATGACGTTGTGCTGTACCATGGCACCGTCCGGCCTCTCGTACAGGCGGGGGCCTGACCAGGGGTCACCACAGATGCCACACTTGCCGCCATTTTGTTGCCACTGGACCTAGGGGTGGGGGTCAGTCATGTACATTTTTTATAACAGTCGTGTAAACAACGACATCATCTACTATGTAGAAACAATCAAAAGTCATGTACATTTTTTATAACAGTCGTGTAAGCAACGTCATCATCTACTATGTAGAAACACTCAAAAGTCATGTGCATTTTTTATAACGGTCTCGTAAACAACGACATCATCTAATATGTAGAAACAATCAAAAGTCATGTACAGTTTTTATAACGGTCGTGTAAACAATGACATAATCTACAACGTAGAAACAATCAAAAGTCAAGTCGATAATAACTCGAGGATAAGAGATAACGAAAGTTTGGACATAGGTTCTGTATGTGTATGTCTGTAAAGGTATATAAAGAATTGTTTTTTAAAACTGTGTGTGGCTTAAAAATCATGTTAACGAGTTTAAAGTTTAAGAATATTGTTTAACATGTAAGCAGTTAAAGACCAACTGTCTTATATTTTATTATTTTTTAATCATATGCACCCTAATTGCTCAAAATGTAATGAAAGTATACACTATTTATTGAACTTGATCAAGAATAAATATTTACTTCTTTATTTTCTTTATTACACAATTCCAGTTAGCAGAATTAGCAGTAAAAAAAACTATAAGATGTAAGAAGTGAACATTATGAAAGAAAATGAAGATTTTTTGTGTGTAATGTAATGATGATGTAAGTCTTATTGTGTTTAATGTAATGATGGTGTAAGCACTTACAGCTCTCCCTCCACAGAACATCTCATGATCGTTAAAGTTGACGGGGGTGTTGAAACCCAGAATATACGCGGACATCCTAGAGGGCGGGTCCAGCATCCTTGCGTGGGCGTCCGTCAGAGAAGGAATGCTAGTCACCAAGATGGCTGCCATCAACAGAGTACCAACAAACATCTTGAGAGGTTCTGTAAACGGAGGAAAAATAAAGTAATTAAAGAATAAACCTGCTGTTTAAATATGGTACCAGATTTAAGTTTTAATTTTTAGGGTTAGGGCTAGTTGTCTTAAAATAAGAAAAATGTGTAAACGTTTATATTTTTTTTATGTTGTTGTTAAAAAGGCACATTTTACTAAGCACACCATATTAATGCAAAAAAGACCCAATCAAACTGTAGACTTTCGGAAAAGGCAACATGGTTTAGCAGGCGAGAGTGGTGAATATAACCTGAATGTCTCGAGTTCAAACCCCGGGCTAATGGAGAAAGAAAAACTACCTTAATGCGATCGAACTACAAACATGATATTGAATAGGTAGTTTCTGCTACCGAATTTAGTTCCAAACGTAATACTTAGATTCCATTCAGCCTAAACGGGCAAAGGTCACGATGCATGGGGAACCCATGATATCTTTTTCTAATACCATGAGGATTTCACTTATCTGGATGCATAAATTGAATCCATGTGCAGAGATGTAAAATTTAAAGTTAATTGCTGCGATTGCACACGTCAAAAAAATTTAATATTGGATTTTGAATTTAAAAACAGTTTTTTTTTAAGGTTTTAAAAATTGCCTTTCTTTATATGTTGATAACAAAAACTTTTATTGTTGCTATACTCTTAATTCACATTTAATTTAATTTCCTTAGCTAGTAATGAGTTAAAATAAAGACATTAAAAAGTGAAAAAAAATATTCTTGACTTCAAAATGATCTTGCCACGAGAAATATGTACTTGATTTTAAAAAGACAGGGACTTAACAACAGAACGAAATCGGTACACACCCCCCAGCCTTTGTCTAAATATATTCATACATTTTCGACCTAAGTTATGTGGTTTTAAAATTAGTTTCCATCACTGTAAAACAGCAGTGATGCACATTTTAAGTACTTAAAAATATATAATGGTTTTGTCATATAATAAAAAAAATGGCTTTAAAGGTTTTGTTATAATATCTTATTTTTTTAAAATTAAAAATGTAAGATTAAAGGCTTTTGTAATTTAATGTTACCTATATATATATATATATATATATATATATATATATATATATATATATATATATATATATATATATATATATATATATATATATATATATATATATATATATATAAATATATATATATATATATATATATACATATAATATGTCAATTTCCAGTAATAACAGCGTTTTCGATAACAAAAGTTCAGTTCAGATAATTTTTTATTGTTAAATATTATTAATTATCAAATTAGCAAATATAAACTAATGTAATGATTAGTAAATTTAATATACAAAGGGGAGATCAAGCACTAAAGATCGCCCGATCAGGAGGCTGAAATAAGTTATGTTCCGTGATGTTTTCTAGCCCGTAAACCGACCGCTGATGTTAAATAAGGGGAAGCTACTTATCAGGTTAAAAACAAATACTGTTTATCGTGCCAGGTGTCAAAATAATTAAAAAGGAGGAAAATACAAATAAGACTATAATAGTTTATTTTTTGAGTACTAATATTAAGTACTTTTTTAAATATCTGAAAGTCGTATTTTTAAAATGTAGAATATAAAATAAATTCGAAAACCCTTATAATTAAAAGCTTTAAGTTTTAATAAATAAAGAAAGTGTGGAAAATAAACATTCGCTAGAGTGACTAGATTTCGAGGTTTTTTTGCAACCAATTTTTTCAAAATAAATTGCGTAAAGAAATCAAAATTCAATCATTTAATTACACATTTGCATTTTCAGTTTCAGGATGGTTTTTAATTTTTATTTTTTCTTTATATTTAGACGTTTTGTATTAGATCTATGTATAAGTAAACCATCTTAAATGAATGAAAGCAGGCTACAAGTAAGAAAGAAATATTACTATTGTAAATCTGTATCAGTCCTCACAAGCCGATGATGAAAACTGTAATACTAAAGCGAACACACAACTGACGCTATAAATTACGTGTCTGAGGCGTAAAAGAAGAGAAAAAAAAAGTAAAGAAATCAAAATCGTGCACTCTATTATACGTGGTTCCCTTTAGCATACATGTTTAAATATTCTGCACCAATTTGTTTTATAAGTAAATGAGTGAAGATCCCCTTTCAGACCCAATGATTCAATGGGCAGAAGAAGTAGAGTTAATCTGTTTCTTGACCACGTGATGGGTTAGTGTTGTCTGCACTATGTCCAGCCGATTTACTTACCCTAACATGAATAATAAAATAAACATATACCCGCAGTAAGTAGAAATTAAAAAATGACGAACCTTTAAGGTGTATCAAAGACGGACTGAATCTTGACGAAATACTGAACAGATGACTAGACCTGAGTTCCTAGCCCACAGTCTTCTGACAAGCAGAGATCGAATCCCAACCAGACCGACCTTAATACTGATCCCAGGGCTAACTAACGACCCCAGGACAGAAATCTTGGTTTATATACCAACCACCTGGATTAGAGGTGCTCATTGGTTACAAAATTAATCCCGTCCCCAACCCCCACTCCCTGTTGCATTGAGTTTTGTTTACATTGTCTTGACATTCACCTTTCACCTATCTGCGCACTGGCATACCCCCCCCCCCCCCCCTCCAAATCGTGCACTTCTGAAGGAAGATATTTTGTAAGGTTTAATTTGTATTGGCACAAGACTGATTTACATTTTTTTAAGGCGTTTGTCGACTTCTTACTTTAAATGACACTGGGAGAGAAGGTCGTGTTATTGTTTTTTTTTTAACTGAATCTTTGTCAAGAATACAGAATAAAGTTTCATACAAAGACGATAGCTGGGTAACAAATACATGTTTACAGGTCTATCTACGCTGAGCTGCATACAGTGGCGTAGGCAGTAGGCAGCCGGGGGGGTCAGGGGGGGTCATAACCCCCTCCCCCCGTAGACCCCTCGGTAAATATATAAAGTATGAGGGGGGGGGGGGTGTAAATCGAAAGTTTGAAAGGGGAGGAGGCAAATCGAAAGTTTGTCCACGGGTAAAAATTTGAACCCCCCCCCCCCCCCCCCCCCCCCCCCCGTGAGACGATCCTGGCTACGCTACTGGCTGTATATAACCACAATAGTCTCAGACTTCGATATTTACACTTGTTATTGATTTGATGCGTAAATAACGAATTACGAGTACTGATCATTCAAGCAAATTATCTGAATACATCCCAGAATCTTTATTTTTTCCTTTTCTTTTCGAGACTAATACACCGTTATAAGCTACAAAGGCATCATGGTATAGAAATTCGTGGTGATATCTCTCACCATATATATATATATATATATATATATATATATATATATATATATATATATATATATATATATATATATATAGTATCTGTGTGTCTCACATTGAGTATCCGTGTGTCTTCCTATAAGAAAATCTCAATATTTGGTCCATAACCCAACCTACAGTAGACTTAATCTGGGCGGGGGTGTTGTGGTCTTTCGTTACGTCACACAAATCACTGTGATGGGTTATGATTTATGTGACGCTGCACTACATGAGGGGGGGGGGATTTAATGTGACGACGTGTGACGATAAAAAGACGTCTTAACAGCACGCCATCAGTTAAGAACGAACCACGGCCTACTAAATTGACACAAGATCATGTAGATCTAATGCCTCACTCAGCCGTGTTGAATTATCATCGCGTGTAAGTGTTCAAGATGTGTAGCTTCAAGGATTTAAATTAGCCCACGTATCGATGACGTAATTGGGTTTTTTTTAAGTTTAATGTGTGTTGAAAAAATTAAATATTTATTTTAAAAAATATAGTCACGTAAGGGATTACATTTTGGATAAAATCGCACGCACTTTTTTTACTACTTGAGCAAACATTTAATTGGGATTTTTCGAAACTATTAAAAGATTAAGAATAAAAATTACGTCATTGTTTAATCTACGTTTTACTTCTCATTTTATATATGTCTACGCAGTAAGATTTTAATTACGAGTTACATAGTTTATCTTTACATTTTCTGTTGAAAACAAAGAGAGTTGTTTAAATCAAGTATATGTGTCAAGGTAACATGCGAAGGTCAAGGTGAGAAATATAGAGTTCAGGTTCACCTAATTGGAAGCAGACAGCTTAACAACGAAAATTTACACTGTCATTTTAATTTTAAATGTTACATACTTAATATTTTTTTATAACATACATCGGCGTCACAAAGCGGGGATGAGGGTGGGTGGTGTGTGTGTGGGGGGGGGGGGGGGTGACACCATGAAGAAAAATAGTACAATTTTCTGTCAAAATACTGTTTTATCTATTTAAAATAACGGTATAGAATGCTATAGGGGTGACACCGAAATGAAAAAGTAATATTATTGAAAGGGGGTGGGGATGGGTGGGGTGACACCCTGTGACACCCGACCCATTGACGCCATTATCTAATATTGATGAGTATCAGAATGTAACAATTATTCAATTACCGACCCTACTAATAAAATAATAAGGAAAATTTTTTTTTGCTAAGTGAAATTCAAAATAACTGTTAAGAAGAGCTAGGATTTGATTTTCTTTATCTTTCTTTAAAAATGAAACTCCCTATCCACATTTGATATTCATTGGATGTACCGTACTCTGTGTGTTTGGTGTTTGGGAATGAGGCGATACCTCAAACACACACCTCTAAGACGACAAGGTATGTGGGGACACATGAAAGGGGTGATGGGGGGGGGGGGGGGGGCATGAAAGAGGTGGTGGTGGGGCTGTGTGAATGCGGACACATGAAAGGTGTGGGGTGGATCACAAGAAATTTGTGAGTTGTGAGTTCTTCCAGGCATCTCCTCGGGGGGGGGGGGGACGGACGGAAAAAAAGTCTACACCCCCTCGTACGAAATGGAAAATATATAGATTATATATACTTTCGTCAGTGTCCGCCCCTCCCCACGAAAATGTAAAGTGCCCCCCAGAGAAAAAAAATCTGAAAGAAACTCTGGATATATGAAAGGGGTGTGGGGGGGGGGGGGAAACAAAGAGGTGGGGTGGGGGACAACATATGAGTTGGGGACAGAAGAAAGGGAGGGGGGGGGGCAGATAAAAGTGGTGGGGTGGGGGACAGATGAAAGGGGGGAGGTAGGGGACAGATAAAAGTGGTGGAGGGGGGGTAGATAAAAGTGGTGGAGGGGGGGTAGATAAAAGTGGTGGAGGGGGGTAGATAAAAGGGGTGGAGGGGGGGTAGATAAAAGTGGTGGAGGGGGGCAGATAAAAGTGGTGGAGGGGGGCAGATAAAAGTGGTGGAGGGGGGGGGGGGTAGATAAAAGTGGTGGAGGGGGGGTAGATAAAAGTGGTGAGGTGGGGGGCAGATAAAAGTGGTGAGGTGGGGGACAGATGAAACGGGTGAGGTAGGGGACTGATAAAAGTGGTGGAGGGGGGGGGTAAATAAAAGGGGTGAGTTGGAGGCAGATAAAAGGGGTGGGGTGGGGGTGAAGATTGTATTGACATTGAGTCAGCTAGTGTTAGTACAACATCCGTATGGGATCACCCCGCGATACAAAGCAGATGGGATGCACCACTAACCTCTTTAGGAAAAAAAACACGTGTACTTAATTCGGAGCTTAGGTAGCTTTAAGCTCCCGTTTGATGTGTTGCTGAGTCAACAGCGGGTATAGCAGCAGGGCTTAAGTATGGGAGCGGTGAAGTTTTGATGGTGTCACCGTATTGGTAGATGTGTGTGACTCGTAGGTTAGGGTTCGGTTACGGCCTTGAACAAAGCTGGAGCCTTGCTCGACTTAACACCTGGATTTGTGTTCATTCGAGGTCATCTGGGTCATAGGGGTCATTAGATTAAATTAAAACTTAGTAGTGGCATTCCGTAACGTGTGCCTGTTAAAAGACGTATTGATCTGAGGAGGTTCTAAATTACATTGACTTTAGATCAGATAGCGTTCATATTTGTAAGCGAGGTGACATCAAGGGTCATACTCATACTCATACACACACGCACGCACACCGGCATACACCGACACGCACATACGCATGCGAGCACACACACACACACACGCACACATATATATATATATATATATATGTGTGTGTCTGTGTATGTGTGTGTATTTCTTTCTCTTCGTATATATATATATATATATATATATATATATATATATATATATATATATATATATATATATATATATATATATGTATATATATATATATATATATATATATATATATATATATATATATATGGTGACAGGACAAATGATCTCAGGACAAATGATCTCAGACAAAATATCTCAGACAAAATATCTCACGGACAAATGATCTCAGGACAAATGATCTCAGGACAAATGATCTCAAGGACAAATGATCTCACGGACAAAAGATACCAGGACAAAATATATCAAGACAAATGATACCACGGACAATTGATCTCAGACAAAATATCTCAGACAAAATATCTCACACCTAAATTTTAATAGTGTATTGGGTGACTTTAGTTGATCTGAACAATTTGTATTAACTGTCGTATGGTTTTGTTTAATATGTTTAATATTGTTTATAGGCCCATATGATAATTGTAAGAAATGTTTGCCGTATAAATTTATCATATTGCACTTTTGAAATTGTATATTGCATTTTAAAATTAGGATTATTACTATAGAAGATTAAAGAAATTGTTCGATAGACAGCGTAGGCGGGCTTGCCAAACATGAGACAATCCAACCACGTCAGGTGGACGAAACTAGATCAAAGAGGATGAAATAACAATAGAGAAACACCTTCGTATCAAGGTGGCAGCCCGCTTTGATGGTAGAGACATGCCGTAAGGGAAAGACATCCGCCCTCCATGAACAATACAACTAATAGCTAAATTCAATAGTTATGCGTCGGTCACACCTTAGTGATCAGGTGACTAATGCTTATTTAAGACAAACAGCGGTCATCGCGGAGTTAGAACATGTCGAGCAAGAGTTCACACAATACATGATCACATAGTATTGGAGAGGTGTGATCATAACGATGTACTGTCAGCAGAGAAACGTAAACGTTATGTTTGTGTTGGTCATGCAATAAAAACAATAATTTTACGTTACGAACCTGGAGACCCATTGACATTTTTGAAAGATATTTCGCATGTTTTAAACATTATTGTTGTAGAGTTACCGTTACTTTGTTTTATACATTATCATTTATCATACCTTTCAGGTTAAAGGAGAAAGTTTGTTTTAATTTTTATTTTTTCAAATCAAAGGCCATTACAAAGATTAAGTTAAATAAATCTTTTGATGGTTTGTTAAGTTTAACAAATTCATTTTATTCACAATTATGATGCGTAAAGAAAGTAAACAAAACCATATTGACAGTCAATTTTTAAAAAAGTTCAAATGAACTTAAATCATTGTGCATACTATCAACATTTTGCTGTGAGATATTTTGTCTGAGATATTTTGTC